TATATATATATATATATATATATATATATATATATATATATATATATATATATATATATATATATATATATATATATATATATATAATTTTTTATTTTTTTTTTCACAGTGTGTCTGATAATATTTTTTCTTCTGGAGAAAGTCTTATGTTTTATTTCAGCTAGAATAAAAGCAGTTTTAAATTAAAAAAAAAAATTTAAGGTCTATATTATTAGCCCCTTCAAGCTATTTTTTCCAATAGTCTACAGCAAGGGTTTTCAAACTGTGGGTCGCACAGTGAACAAAGGTGGGTCGCGCAACGTCACATAGCTGCAGCTGTATTTACATTGCGATGAATCAAAACCAGTACGATTGACGGCAATAACTCAAAAACCTCTTACACTAAAAATATCTAAAGTGTGTTTCCTACAAATAGACAAAGCTGGTTATGTTTCACAGCTGCTTTTTTCTTTTTTTTTTCGCTCAACATTACGAGCACTTCTCCGTTTTAGCCCTCCATTTGATCTGCGTTTAGCCGGGAGAGCTCGCGCTGAGCGGAGCTCTCAGTAAGGGACCGTCGGAAAAGTGCTTATATTTTTCGTTTTTTTTTTTTTTTTGCTCCGTCTTGCGTGTTTTATTTTAAACACAACTAATTTTCTCTTAAATGAGCTAAAACAGTTACTAAAGTAGTCGAATGCTTCATTATAGGTCTGTGCATTCTTACATGAACACCTCTGTTATCAAGCAAAACACAATGAGAGATTCATTTGCTGCTCTTCACTAAATAACTATAGTCACTTTAATCAATATGCAAATACAATTAAAAGTGAAGTAGATTTTATAGCTTTATGTAATTTCTGTATAGGCCATCGATTTTAATAGGCTAAACCTTTTATTTTATTGTCAATGTTTTCTAATGTTTGCTATGTATTCTATCATTTGAAGCTATTTGTTGTCCCATATTTTTGACATCCCAACGTTGACACATTGCTAATCAATGAAAAGCTATAGTGCTGTTAGTTTTAACGTCAGCTAATGTTATCGAAGGGCTTAGATGTTATGGATAATAGTAATAGTAATGTAACTACCCCCATCAGTCCTTCCTCAAGCAAATGTGTAAATGTTAGATCTATTCAGCATTAACGTTAATTGCATTGGCAAATGTATCTGACATTTTCCCAGCTTGTAGTAGTCGATCAAAAAGCGATTTAGTTTCTTATGACTTTACACTAGCAGTGGAATTTACTGCGATGTGACGGGGCTTGATCAAAGGTCGATCATATTAAACCCAAACCCTCACATCGCTATTTTTGGAAAACCCCCAGATGATCTTCATGTCACAAACATTCAAAATAATGTCATCGCCTTTTCCTCCCTTGTTGCACGCAAAAGAATTCTTTTAATGTGGAAATCGAAACAACCACCCTCAATCAAAGTTTGGTTACACGACATCTTAAGTCTTTTGAAATTAGAGAAGATTAAGTTCTCTCTCAGAGGCTCGCCTCACAAGTTTTATATTCATTGGAGGCCACTACTAAATTATTTTGATGATTTAACACCTCTGGAGGTGATTATTTAAGAAATCATTTTATGGTCGGAATTACTATTATTATTTTTTTTTTCTTTTAGTCTAGCATTTTTTCTGCGGAACAGTCATGCCCTAAACTAGACACATTGGTTTAACCTCAGCACAACTAAAACCATAAAAACCAAGAAGTAGGTAGCACATCATTATTATTGATGTAACTAGCTAATGTATTTATTTTGTTTCATTTATTTATTTATTCGAAAGCATTTATGAATGTATCTCAAATTGTACTATTATCATTATTTTTGTTTTATTGTTAATATTTTATTTTTATTTTATTTATTTATTAATTTTTTTTTATTATTATTTCTCCGTCTTCTGTTATACGTTTTACAAGAAAAGTGGCTATGTGTTTGGATGGGTGGGATGGGTGGGGGGTTTTGGGGTTGAATGTTTACAAAAGTGTTCAAAAAAGAAAAGCAGAAATTGGACATTTGTATACAACGAATGCTTTCCACTTGTGTTCAATAAATAAAGTTTATATAAAAAAAAAAAAAAAGGTCGATCATATTCTCTTCTGAAAAAAGAAGAGGATCTTTTTCAACAAAAAAATGATCACAGTCATTCTGTGCATATCAAATCGCAAAATCCAAACAGCCACACACTATATATTTTTGACTGCTTTGAATGGAGACATTTTTTACCCATTTTTCCATATTAAAATATTATAGTGGGTCTTGAGATTGAATTACTTGCCTAGGTGGGTCCTGGAATAAAAAAGTTTAGGTATCCCTGGTCTACAGAACAAACCACTGTTATACAATGACTTGCCTAGCTACCCTAATTAACCTAGTTAAGCCTTTAAATGTCACTTTAAGCTGTATAGAAGTGTCTTGAAAAGCATCTAGTCAAATATTATTTACTGTCAACATGGCAAAGATGAAATAAATCAGTTATTAGAGACGAGTTATTAAAACTACTATGATTAGAAATGTGTTGAAAAATCTAATTTCTGTTAAACAGAAAGTGAATTAACCTTTTCAAAATCTGCCGCAGAGCCCAAATCTGACGAATCCAAAACGCCCAGCTCAAGCTATGGAGCAAAGCGGGAAAGAGAATCAAGCGACAGCATTCAGAGCGCGGAGAAACGTCATCTGAGATCATCAGAAGGTACACTGTAAACATGTTGCTCACTTACATTTTTTAATTCATTCATTCATTTTCCTTCGGCTTAGTCTCTTTATTCATCAGGGGTCGCCACAGCGGAATGAACCTCCAACTTATCCAGCATATGTTTTACACAGCGGATGCCCTTCCAGCTGCAAGCCAGTACTGGAAAACACCCAAACACTCTTACATTCACACACTTATACAACAGCCAATTTTCATTAATTCCCCTATAGCGCATGTGTTTGGACTGTGGGTGAAACCAGAGCACGCAGAGGAAACCCATGCCAACACTGGGAGAACATGCAAACTCCACACAGAAATGCCAACTGACCCAGCTGGGACTCAAATCAGCGAGTGTCTT